CACAGAATGAAATACTCTACTATCCTGAACCACTTTACGAAAAGTTTGTTTATGCCTCTGTAGGTAAGGTATACAAAAATACACTAATTGTAGACAGATATAACAAAACTGCCATTTAAAAAAATAGAAGGGAATCTTGACTAAATGGGAAGGTAGCAGGACTAAAAGCACAGTTTAGACCAGAAGGCTGGAGAGAAGCAAGGATTAGCTTTTCTGCCTGTGCTGACCTGCCTCCTGAAAGTAGTCCCACCAACCCCAGAAAGTCTTCTTACTGTGGAGCTAATAGCCAGCCTAAATACAGCTGCAAAACTTCAAGGAGGCTTTTTTTTTTTGTACCACACAGCCACTGAGCTCAGAACTACATTCCTACAGAAAAATTTCTAAAATAATCTAAAAGGAAGAATACTTATGATAGAATGTCCAAAATACAAATTCAGACTATCTGTTTTTCACCTTGTTTCACACAGAAAGGCAACTGGCCGTGATGGACAGCTTATGGTGTAACTGCTCTGCTCGGTGGGAGATGGAACAGGTTTAGCTGGATTGCAGGAGCTGTGCCAGCTACAGGAGACAGCATAATCAACCCTTGGCAAAACCTGCCTCATCATTCAGCTGAGCGACTGCCAGCCAGAACCCCGCTGCTTGAAGGATGGTAACACTAAGGAGAGACTTTCTGGAAGGGAAATTAAAATTCAGAAAAGAAAATAAGACAGTGATTTTTCTGGGGTTCATCAAGATTATAAAAGACTTATTTTCTCTCAATCCTCCTTGCAAGGAAATGCAAAATTTTAAATAAACTTGGTACTTGTTTCATTTGGATGCATTAAATGATTCCTTTGAGCCTGTAAGGCCTATCATCCCTGAACAGACTTGTGCAGCTGCTGCACCTAATTTCATTTTGGCATGGAAAGAGGTTAGGACATGTCTGTGCAGTGCAGTCTCACTCTTCTCCCTCAAAGCAGGAGCTAGCATCATGAGTCAATAAAATTTAAAAGTGCCTTTCATCACCTACATTTGTACAGAGTGATTGCAACTTCAAACAGAACGAATGTAAGTAAAGGAGGCAGAGCATTGTATACAGGGTAACAGCTGATTGACAGGCAGAAATATAATTATGGATGATAAAAAAGGGAAAACAGAAATGCAAACTATTGATTTCTTGGACTAATTTAGAGCTCCGTTCCTGATGTTGATCAACAAGGCACGTTCACTTACAATAATCCAAGGGGAGTTTGTATTATTCACACGTCACTTAGGACAGTGAAGGTTAAAGGGACTTATTTTTCCCCATCCTTGTTTTTCTGGTGATCGAAATATATTTGAAAAGAACTTCTGTCTGAAATAGATATAGGATTTCAGACTCTAATGCAAACTGGTAAACATATTGTCATAATAAAAATCAAAGCACAGCAATCACCAGCTATCCAAAATCCCCAGCATTATCTTGGATATAGGGATGAACATATGAACTCTTGTCAAGCTGTTTGAGTCTAGTGCAGTGTAAAAAAGCAATTTAATATGGATCACAGAGAAGTCAGAAACCAAGACACTGCTGATCCAGAGATCAGCAATCACTGTCAAAGCAGACAAAGCTGCTGTTTCATAGTTCTTGGCCTCTTCTGCATCGGACTGGCACCCAGTGCCTCCCTCCCAAGCGATCGGGGATTCACTTCTCGTTAGAAGGAGGGGTGGCAGAATCCCCCCTCCCCGTCAATCCATGCCAACTAAGTTGAGAAAACACATAAAGGGCTCTTCAGTCAGTTCAGTAAGAGATAAATTGAGTGAGGGAAGGCTCATATATATTTTGTTTAAACTCTATTAGATTTATCTAAATTCCAACACATTAATGGTTTGCTCAGTTCCCAGTCCCCCCAAACAAAAGAAAGATGCTGACCAGCAGAGCACCCTCCACTCTTCCACAGACCCTCAGACACCCTCTCCCGTTGAAGACCAATCATAGAAATTAGGCTAAAATGAGGGGTTTTTTTTTAAAAGAAAGCATACAGGAACCTTACTCTGCGTTGATTACTCTTGATTTTTTAAGCTGGCAAGACTAATAAGCGAAGAATATACTTTCCAAGTTAAACCTGCAAGGACAATTCACATCTTTCCTCTATCTGCTCGCCTAGCAGCATCTGTAGATAATACCAGTTTTCAACACTAATATCTGTAGCATAGTATTCAAAAACAGTCATCAGTCCTTGGTCTGGGCCTACAAAACGTGGGTTTCTGCAACTGATCCAATCAAGCACTTCACAGCATTTGGTTTCTAGGATCACAGAAGGGCAGATATACCACTGAATACGACCAGAGATAAATAACCTCTCACTGAAAATCAGTAGCTTGAACTCTAAAGAACTAACTTACAACTTAAAGAGCATTATTTTGCCAGATTATCTGCCCTGATGAAATAATATTCCAACAAACAGAAGAATCTTGAAGCCTTCAAGATCGCAGGCAACAAGCAAAATCATCTACGTCTATAGGACTCGATCACATCCAGCATCTTGCTCTTCCCTCTTCTGTCCCCCTCACAGGATTTCATGGTGCTGCAAGACAGTTTCCCTCTGCAGAGCAGCGAGGAGAGCAAGTTCACAAAAAACACAGCAAAATTTAGCAGTAGAAATGCCAGGAACAAAATTCACCCAGCAAGCCTACTAGCTGGAGACAAAGTAAGCTTTCTATCCTGACAAAGGCAATTTCAGAATGCCAAAAAGCAGAGCCTGCTTAGTACTGGACTGTAGAGATGTGGCCTAGGGAGGCCAGAAAGAGAAAACAGCACATCAAGTGACTTTATATGACTTCACATTCTAAGGAAAAACTTCTTCATCCATCCAGTTTGTATGCACAACAATAACTTCAGGAAAAAAACTTCCTCAACTGTTACCACTTGAAAAAATAATAGCACAAGAATCCCTTCCAGTCTCTAACTACATGAGTTTTCTTCTGAACTTTCAGAAATTCAGGGCAAAAACTCCTTTGAGTACCTATAAAATCTCAAGTAATGCATTCCTTTTTCCTGGAGGGCCTGTCTTAAAATGCCTCTGATAATGCCAAGAGTTGATGTCTCTTTCTCTGAACAGATGGTAGCCACAAAGGCAGTATTAATGCACAAGTGAAGTAACAGTACCTTGTACAAAAGCTCAAACGGACTTTCTGTGAAGCAGAGCTAGTCATGCTTTAGAGAAAAGTGTTTTGCACCTTTACTTTATGTAAACAGGTGATCTTGAATCCTTTAACATCGAGATGGAAACCCACACACAACACATTTAAACCCCAACCCCATTGCTCATAATATAGTCGAATGGGTTGGTTTACTAACATTTTCTGGTTTTATAATATACTCCAATATACATTTAATAGTTTATACCTTTGAATTAGCCCTAGTTTTGAGCAGAAATTTGATGAATAATTTATTTCCATCTAAGAACAGCTCACATTCAGTATCAAGCATACCATCTCTTATTCAGTCACCAAATTATTCTGAATAATTTGTGACCCACACACTGTGGGGTCATAGTTTATTGAGGCTATTAAAGTTGCTCTGACTTTATTATTAAACTATAACCATCTTTAGCACAAATATACTGGCAAATTCAGAACTTCATCCATGAAATCATGAAACCCAGAGGTAGTCTTTTTCAGCTTTATTACGAAATGGCAGAATGAAGCCCAAAGTCTTTTCTGATCACATAAGACATGAAACTGACACCAAGATAAAGAGCCAGAGAAAAGCTGTATAGCTTCATGGTCTTCTGAAATGACAACTTCATGTCAATCCATGCTGTATAGTATTTCCCTTGTCATCTGATATAGTCACTAGTGTTAAATAATACAGCCTTTTTCTGTTATTGCCTAAAATCAAGTTCAGTATACAGCATGCTATATACACTTGTATCAGTGATAAAGAGCAATACAAATAGTCTGTTGTAAACTCTGTTAAAAGAAATGGCAAGTATTGTTTTTATAAAACTTGTGTTGGCTATACATGGAGATTTTCCTGTTTTCAAGCCTGATAATCTGCATTGCAGCTACGTTGTATCCCTCCCCCCCGAACCCCTCCCCAAAGCTCTTTTAAAGAAAGAACACTACTTAAAATGTGGAGAAAGTAATGCTCATATTAACACAACTTACTGGTAACCAAGTCTGCTAAAATCAGTATTTTCATAGATCAGAAAAAAAGGAGCATATTTTTAACATACTCTTACCTGTAATCTACAGTTTGAAATTCTTATAAGAAGAACAGATATTTAGCATCAGATTCTTGGTTATGTTTGGGTTATTGTTTTTCAGGGTTTTTTTCCCCCTCTCCAAATGTAGACTTTGCTTTTTTGGTATAGTGTAGAAAAAAACTGTAATCTGCCCAGCTAGAACATAAGCATAGTGCTGCCTTTGACGAATGTCATTAAGCACTAGAGAACTCTATGACGACGCTATTGTCATATACACATATGTCTATTAAAATCTCTTAGCACTGATGACAAAGATCAGTTGATTATAGCTCAGGTCATTTTTTTATATTGTATTAATGACACCAACTGTTCTACAGGCTGAACTTCTAGCTATTACAAGGCACACCTGCAAAAATGCATCTCTTCTGTTTCGCTTTTTTCCTTGAAACAAGCTCTACTATGATTACTCCTAGCTTGCAAAGCAAATACTAATTTCAGCATTTCTTGCCTGTATTATGATTTTAATACAGTATGTGTTATTCACCTAGGAAACCTTCCTTTTTCTGCTTCAGCAGTTACGATTTCTGCCTTTTTCTGACCTGAATGAGGAACAATCCATTACAACTGCACAAACCAAAATCGCACTGCTCATGTCTGTCAATCATTGCGAATACAGTTCTAGAATTTCTCCACAAATCTTTTAAGTGTGTTAGCTATTTAGTCTAAGATGTTAGATCTTTAGTGTAAGACATCTCTACAAATAAAAAGCAGCAGTCTCCAACCTACAGTGACTGACTGAGACAAAGGGAGGAAAATAAATTGTCATACCGGTGAACTCCACTGTTGCACATGATGATGTGACAAGCTCCAAGCCTGCTACAGAGTTCGGAAGAGACTGAAAGCAATCCAACTCCGGAAGCACTGCACGCCGTGTATGCGCAGGCGGCGGTGCGCTTGGATCGGATAAAGGACCCTATCAGTCGGTAAAGTTCATCCGAGCAATTGAGAGGCCTCATCAGCTGCAGGAGAGGGAGGGGGAGAGAGAGAGAGAGAGAGAGAGAGAGAGATATTTAAATATTTGCTATTGAGAGCACATGAAACGCTCTTTTAGAGCGGATCATCACAGATGCAGATGGAACGGCAGGGTTGGCTGAGAAAGCCGAAGCCAAATTCCATAGCATAAATGGAGAGCACAGTGTTCTGTTACAGGACCTACCACAACTTTTTCAAACTTTTAAATTCTTACCGTCACTGACCGTTTCATTCCCAGTGCTGCCTATAGAAGTGTTTTTAACTTCAGTAAATAGACCATCTGTGCCATTTCCATTAAAGGTATTGGCAAAAAAGGGAAGCCCAGGAAGAGGCAATCTACAACCATACACATATACAGGAGGGATGCCAAGGCTGGTTAATAGACTCACTGAGGAAATCAGCTTAAAATTAAGGCAACACTGTCCTTTTTTTTATGCAAATGTATAGTTCCTAATTCTGACTAACAACATAGAAAAATAAAAATGAAAAGAAGTGACAAAAACATACTACAAATCAAGAACAGTACACTTTATAGCCAGACTTGGAAACCTCAGCATCCCTGTACGGGAAATAAATGATCCACCTAGTAAAGAAGGCGGTTTCAAGTGGAAGGCTGTAAAGAAGACATTCACAAGACAGCTTTGTAGACCTCATCATTCCAAATCTCCTATTCTGTTTATTCCAGGAACACTTAAAGATTCCAACAAACCCCCATGCTACTCAAAGAATGAATTTTTTGAAAGGCAGATTAACTGCCTAAAGACTTTTTTAACTAATTAGGGAAATGGCAGCCTCACTTGCTCCTAAATGAAGGTTACTTTATTGGAAAGTAGAGAGGTCAAGTAAAAAAATTATAACAGTGAGCATATTTAAACCTGGACACAAATAGATATAACTTGGTTTAAGTCCTATTGGTTTAACTTGCATCCATTTAAATCGATTTTAGCTGGTGCTATTTACTAATGCAGAGCTACGGAGAATAAAGCAAAAGGCACAGCCACAAACAGATCACGCACTCACTCGCAGCTTCCTCCAATTGCAAAATAAATGCATTAGCTTAACCTAGCATCCCTTGGTCAGATCTGGATTATGAGATGCCTTTATCTTGCCCTTGAACTTGTCACTGAAATAGGTAGGGAGCAGGTTTAAGGGTAACAAGCACTCCACACACAGCTAAAGGTCTCCTGCTGCACCTGTGACTGCTCAGAAAGCCAAGCTGCCGGCCCACCAGGGAAGGAGAGGCACAGGCATATGTCCTCTCTCTCCCCTCCCATGCGGACCAGCACGGATCCGAGAAACAGGAACCATCAGTCTGTTAACACTCGTGCTGGATGAGAGCGACATAAAAGTGTAGTCTGTTAGAGGGCTCAGCTGATGATCACTGCATTTCTCAAGCCACTGTAGCTCAGTCACTTTTGAAGTCAGTGTAGGCACGACCCTAGGAACTTCTTTTTTCCCCACTGTTGGGCTGCAATATGGGCATTAATTCTCCAACAATAGGAAAGAGCATTAAATGCATTTTCATAGCCCCCGGGATCTCTCATAGCCCCCGGGATCTCTCAGTCACAGAGGTTTAAAGCCAGATGAAGGCATTTGAAGCCAGCTTAAATGAGGAGGTTCAGAAGAAAGCCTTCTGAGCAGGATGCTGAAGGAGTATTTAATTTGTAACAGCGCTTCCAGTTTTCAGAACAAAGAACTTCTGCCTGCCCCTGCTCTCCCCCCACTGTATCCTTCCACCCTCCACATGCTCCTGGAGCAACTGCATTGCTCTGAAAGCACAGTGTGAAAGGAAAGCTATGGTTCCCCTGCTCAAATACACTGAAGCCCTCCAGCCACACCTTTTGATACAGAACCACATGGCACCACATTGACCACTGAAACAGAGGGGGGACAAAAAGCTGCAAGAGACTCCTCCTTTCCCTGCTCCCCTCCCCTTGTGCCAGCTTTAAATAATTTCATCTTCTGATGGAATTAAGAAAGCCTCAGGAAAGGATTACAATAACACAGTGTGTAACATGCAAAGTTTAATTAGGAACTTAACATTTTTAATTACCTTATCTATATAAGCTGCTTTAGATGTTGAATTTGTAGGCAAGTTTGACTTGTCCAGGTAGAATGCCCTGAAAGAACAAACAGAATAAGGAAAAAACTGTTAATTATTTAAACTCCTGAACAAAATCTATTTAAGTGATTATTCCTAGACACCATCTCAGGTTGGAATTTTATTTTTTTAATTTCATGGTAAGAGTGGATCAAGGAATAATACAAGGGTAAACAGGCACTATCACTCTTTTTTTTCAAGTAATAAGGAACATTTTTTTGTTCTGGAGACAAAAACTGTCCCTCTGCCCTTTTACAGTACAGTGCAAAATTTTTAATACCTAGTTAGTAGAAAAACTGGATTTGAAAGTCATTTTCACCAAAGCTATCCATGAAAAGGTTTGTGGCAACCATCTAGATTTTAATAGTGACTGTGGGAAACATGGCATATAGAGTGCCTGAGCCTCATACACTATAATCTTTTTTGTATTAGCTGTATAGAACTGCAATAATATAAAACTGGAATCTCAAACACAAAACACAGTACTGACAGAGGAAACATAGACAGGCTCACAATAAAAAAAGAAACAAAAAAGCAAAAACTCTACAAGGGGCAAATATCCACCATACAAGCAAAATGGCATTTGCAGTGTGTGCACTCATGCATGCATGTGCAAATAAAAAACAACCTGCCTTTCTTTACAATTTCTGCAAACTTCTTTGAAAATGAATTAGTGCACGAAAGGAAAAGCCAAAAAAACCTGTCATTTACCTGAAGAACACCAATGTGACAGAATGTTTTTTTGTTGGAAGGGACCTTAGAGATCATGTAGGTCCAACCCCCCTGCCATGGGCAGGGACACCTTCCATTAGACCAGGATGCTCAAAGCCCCATCCAACCTGGCCTTGAACACTGACCGGGAGGGGGCAGCCACATCAAATCTAAATCTAACCTCTTTCAGTTTAAAGCCATTACCCCTTGCCCTATCACTACAGGCCCTTGTAAAAAGTCCCTCTCCGGCTTTCTTGCAGGCCCCCTTCAGGTACTGGAAGGCTGCTATACAGTATCCCCACAGCCTTCTCTTCTCCAGGCTGAACAACCCCAGCTCTCTCAGCCTTTCCTCGTGGGGGAGGTGCTCCAGCCCTTGATCATTTTTGTGCCAGCCTCTGGACCCGCTCCAACAGCTCCATGTCTTTCCTGTGCTGGGTTCTCCAGAGCTGGACGCAGGGCTCCAGGTGGGGTCTCACCAGAATGGAGCAAGGGGGCAGAATCCCCTCCCTCGACCTGCTGGCCACGCTGCTTTCGATGCAGCCCAGGATGTGGTTGGCCTGCTGGGCTGCGAGCACACATTGCTGGATCATGTGGAGCTTCTCGTCAACCAACACCCCTAAGCAGAGAAAGCATACTTACTCCATCAGGTTTATCTATTGTGTACTAAAGTTCATCAACCCACATTCTCCCAGTTCCTTCTATAAGCTTTCACTTAATAATTAGTACCAGAAAAAGTTTTTATAAAATGGACAAATGCAACATGTGCCATTTTAAAAGACAAAGGTTGGCTAATTTCTGTGTGGCATAAAGGAGGCTGATATTTTGTACAAAGGGCTTCCATGCTATCCTTCTCTCCTAAAACAGGAAAACTTCTCTTACTCAACACCAGAAAGGAAAATCTTTAGCAAAGATCACACAGGCAGCACAGAGCTCTCCTTCTGTCCCCTTCAACTCAGGAACCCTAGAGAAATTCTTTTTCCTTTCTGTTTTATAAGCAAATTAACTGCTCACCATAGATGAGCTACCATTAAACATCTCGTAGGCAGAGGAAATACATTACCTGTCTCCATGATAACATCACAGTTTCTCTGCCTCTGCAGCATCGCTTAAGAAAAAAAAAGTCCCTGCCTATGGCAGCGGGGTTGGACCAGATGATCTTTGAAGGTTCCTTCCAACCCAAACGAATCAGTGATTCTCCAATCACAAAACTCATCCTGCTGGTTGAAAAGCTCCTAAAACCTGCTGGGGCAGCTGGAAATAGAAACACCTGGTAGGCTTCCCTACCTGGATGAGGCATCTGGTGAGAACCAGGCAACAGCTACCACTGCAGCACTTCTGGCCAAGGTTAAAACAATAGGGAAAAAAAAATGGATTCTCCAGTGGAAACCTCAAGGTATCACTACAATCCAGCTCCATTGCCTGTGCAATAGGAGCAGACCTAACTGAAGGTCAGAGCTGAGCCACGACCCAGGCTGGAATTATGGAATGTGGTAATCAAATTTCAGTTGCAATAAAACATTAAAACAAATACTGAAAAGAATGTATCCTTGCACCCTAACTCTCAAATGACAGCATCATCTGGATCCTTCGGTCATGAAAACATTGATTAACATAACCTACATGGGTAAAAATCCCTCTCCCCTCTTTCTTCTGGTTTTATCTGTGAGTGAAGTTATTCATAGTTATATACTTGCAGGGCAAGGGGGCAGACTGCAGATTCGAATAGCCTTTTGTTCTTCAGTAATCTGGAACGACTGCACTGATAAAAAAAATCTCACCACCTTTAATGCTAATAGATTTTGCTTCCTATAGCTTTCCAGTTTTGAAAAGCATCTTCTCCGAAATTTAAGGTCTGAATTAATCCCCTTAGAAAGCACAGCAAAGCTCATCTAGTTCTGTTATTCCATTAAGCCTGCTGCATGATCCAGAATGTACTGTGTCAAAGGAAGCTGGAGACTATTGGAAGGAAAAGAGGTTTGCAGAGAAAATTACTCATAAATCACTTTGAGTGGTCACAGCACATAAAAGCTACCTCAGTAGCAACAGAGTAACCTTCTCCTTTGTTAGCAAAGCTACAAAACAAAGCATCTCCCTGCCATCCACCGAACATTATCAGACTGAAAGCCTATACTGTTTTTTCCTGCCATGCCACAGGAAAATCTGCTTCATTCAGAGTCTGTTCAGCACTCCCATTCTCTTTGGACTGTTATTTCAGCAAATTCAGCTGTCTTAAATGAAACTAGAAACCAAATATAGAACAGTACACACATTAATGGAGTGCATGGAAAATAATCAACTCAGGGTACAAAATGAAGCAACACGTACACTAGAATAGGATATACAATTATAGGAATTACTACATTAATTCAGTCAATTATTCATTAACCTAAAGAACAAACAAAAATCAACTATACACAACATTAATTTTAAATATCAAAATATCCTGTTACAAATGAAACTATTCCCCCCACACAACCAGATAACACTCCCAGATGTTTCTCAAGTGCTTTATTTTTATTGCTTTTCATAAAAACCGTCTTCAGTATTTTACAGAACATGACAAACTGTGGACAGCATATAAATTTCCAAAGCACTTAATTACTAAATGCTTGTTAAGGTCCTTAATCATATTTTATGGGGAAAGTTAATGGCAATCTTGGCATGGTGCCCAATTTGGACAATATTTTCTAATCCATTTCAAATGAACAAGAATGAAATCATAGCTCTTTGTCTGCAAATGTGATGCTGGTTTTGCTTCTAAAAGCCTTACAATTTCTCTATGCTGTAGCAGAAACGCCTTTCTTTAAAGAAAGGCTGAAAATCAAATAGGCATTAAAACTACAGGGGATTATTGCTGTGTTCCACTCTTGTAAGACATCCCCTATGTAACAACGTCAAATAATGGGACAAGTATGTCAAGGAAAACTTACACTTGAATGAGGTAACAAACATCTTAGGCTTCAAAAAGAAAAATCTATCAAAATGAATGTTTTCACAAGAAGTTTTCCCAGAACTTGACTACAAAGAAGATGCAGAAATACTGATGTTTTCTTAGTGAAGTCTTTTACAGGGTACCCTCCAAAATTGACCTGGACATGTAAAATCTTGAAAATTTGAAATGTTCGAAATTGAACCCTAAGGAGGCTCCAAACCTGTAGAGAGACACACTCCTAAGTAACTCTGTACATGCAAATAATTCAAGCAAAGCCAAGTTTCTCGTCTTATTCTCAGTTTGTTGTTCCAGGAAGCCCATAGCGTTATCCTAGATGTTGATCATCTTTGCTTTGAAATGTAAGGATAGTAAAGAGGATAAGTAAAGGACAGTAAAGAAGTGATTGGAGTGGGGGAAAGGGGGAGGGCAGATAATTGGGTTACTGCATTAAATAAAGGCTAGTTGGGGGTTCTGCTCTACAAAGGTTCACTTTGGTGATTTTATAGCAGAGAAGAATTTAGTCTTTTCTTCATTGCTGTGGCATACCTATAGATAAAGTCAAGAAAAGGATGGAAACATATTTTAATTCCACTTGATTTTCAATCCCTTGGTCACAAGATATTCAAGATCATGTAGATATGCATGGTCAAAGTGGCAAAGGATATATCAGTAGAGGTGCAGACTCAGGAAGTGTTAGGATTAGTGTCCCATTCTTCAGCTCAAACTACAAAGCATGTATTTATCACATTCATAAATAATATCTCTGTATTTGCATTTATATGCATACATACTTTTGTATTTCTTTAATAAGAATTCTCTGTTCTGCCATCTGGTTGTTAACAATATAGGTAAGCATGTGTATAGCGCGTGTGTTTTTTATATATACACACATTTGGCAATACCTTTACATGTATATAAATGCAATTGTTTCTGTAGTACAAAGTACCCATTGCAGAAAACTATTTGCTGTCACAGCAAATAAAGCATTTTACATGTTCTTTCTACTAAATGGTTAAGTCTCAATAAATGACAAATAACCAAGTATAATTCTCTCAGCGCATTCTAAGACCTAGTGATTTTAAATGATGCATCCTAACATCTGTGTCAGTGATACAATCCCGTGTAAAGTCTTATTAGTAGTTAGAGAAAGGTTTAATTATAACAAGAGAAAAATCATGACAGTATCACGATTTTAAATTCTCAAAGAGCATACATTCTGACTTTTCACAACTATTGTGCAAACTGCAGTGAAGAAGAGAGAATTGTAACACTATGTGGCTCTGAACTTACCATGGGTAATTCACATTTCATGTGTCAGTAACTCAGTAAACCCTTCCTTTGTATGTGGCACTGGTGAGGCTGCGCCTTGAATACTG